AAGGGGAGGAGGGAGGTGCCGCCACCGCCTCAGCATGTGCATGCGCTGCAGCCGCACAGCCCGGGATCCGGCACGGAAGGCGGCGTTGGTGGAGGCAGCGGCGGTGGAGGCATCGGCGAGAAGGGCGGCGGCGAGGGCGGCGGCGGCGGAGACGGAGACGGCGGAGACAGCGGGAACGGAGACGGCGGCGGAGACGGCGGCGGCGGCGGCGGCGGCGGCGACAGCAATGGCTCCGAGATGCTGCTTCAGCGGGCCGCACAGAAGGCCGGCGGCGGCGCCGTAGCAGCGCTCCATTGTGCAGCGCCGACAGTTGATGATGCTGCGCCTGCACCGGATGCTGCGCCTGCACCGGCGGCGGCCCGCTGGAGGTTATCAAGGAGGTGTTCCTGAGCGACTCGATGATCTTGCAGCGCTACGTAGTCTTCCAGGAGACCGCGCTCGCCACTAAGCACATCTTCGGCGTGATCCAAGGCGTGCGTCACCGCCTCGGACGCTACCTCGGGTCGGTCGTCTCGATGGAGAATGGCAGCGTCCCGCCCGGCCTGGAGGACTTTTCCCTGGGGGAGACCGAGAGGCAGATGCACGCGCAACGCGTCGCCTCCAAGACCACATCTCTTACTCGTTTCGCCTGAGCAGGCCTGGCTCCCTCGGCAGCCCCAGCAGGACATGTCACCCACGCCGTTCTGTCCGTTGTGGCTCTCCTCCCCAAGGCTTTCGAAAAGCATGCAGGAGTAGAGGGCCCACAGCGTCCTAATCTAAAATCCGAGGATTAAGGATTCAGGCATCGCTTTAGTGAGGCCAAAGTGAGTTTATGGATGATGAGCTCTCCAACCCACAAACCAACCACTCGTCCTTGGGAGGGGGCCACTCGCCAGCCTCTCCCGCCTCGCCAGCCTCTCCCGCCTCGCCAGCCTCTCCCGCCTCGCCAGCCTCTCCCTGGGGGGGGCCGCTGGGGAGGTCGGAGAGGGTGGTCTGGCGCCGGCTGTGGAACGGAGGGGGGCGCGCCGCCGGCTGCTTCCCACTGCTGGCCACCGCGAGCTGCCGCGATGCGGCGCTGGAGCCGTCGGCCGAGCCCAGCCTCTCGGCGGTCGAGTTGGTCGAGCTGGCGGGGCCGGCGAAGATTTCGGGGACGTGACCGCAACTCGGGCAGCGACAGCGCGCTTGAGCTGCGCATGACCTGAGGGAGGGTGTAGAGGATGTAGAGTGTAGAGCGCTGTAGAGCTGTAGAGCTGGAGAGCGCTGTAGAGCTGTAGAGCTCTACATCCGCCGCGGGACGAAGCGCCTCCGTTGTAGAGCGATGTAGAGGCGCTCTACAACGTGAAATCTCTACAACAAACTCTACATCAAAAGCGGCGAACGAGGCACGGTCGCTCTCCGACATGAGGCGCGTTGCACTTGCCAGTGCGGCCCTGGCCTTCTGTCTGCCCGCCCAATGGGTGGCAGGTGCCTCTGCTGCTATGGCATGCCTCACGGCTGCGACTGGCCGGCGCCTCGGCGCGTCAGCTCGGCTCGGCGTAGTGATAGTGGCCAGCGCAACTCGCCTGGACTCAACGCTCAGCCAGGAGCTCCCGCACGCGCTGGCGCGAGTCATGGCGCATGCAACGCGTCTGAATGCTCGCCTCGCCTCGCGCAAATGCGACCGTCCTCGCAGCCGACAGTCCACCGCCTCGCCTGCTAAAGAAGCACAGCGACGAATGCGCCACCGGCGACGCATGGCAGGCTGGTCATGACGCAGTAT